TTATGAAAAAAAAATCGTTCTTCTCTGCAATCCAACAACTACTAACAATTATTGTAAAAAAAAATCAGAATCCAAAGAAAATATCTGCCCGAAAAATAAATCGTTAAAAAAAAATACCAGCGCTCAACACATTGGAAAGAACGACAAAATTCAACAAAAAAAAAATGGACTAAAGCGCGCTGTCAGCTCGTCTGTTTTGGGCGCTAAAAAAAAATTTGATCCCCGATCTGCGTAAGTAGACCATTTCTACGTGTTCAAATTATTTTACGTAGATAATTAACGTAGAACATTGTATCCTAAACCAATGGAACAAACTGTACGTAGACACATAAATATCTAATCGTTACGTAAGCGAAAAAAAAAAACTATTTTCACACGTAACTTTAGTTGCCCTTACGTTGTGAAAAAAAAAAATTTGTCTGCGACTTTTCCAAAGTAAACGTTTAGGTTAGTTTACGCGACATCGGGTAAGCGTTTTCCGTAAGCGCAAGTAACAGCAAGCGTTAAAAAAAAACCCCTACACGCAGTTGCGTTAACGATTTTTTAAAATCGCGCAAAAAAAAACATGCAAGTTAATCACTTAAACGTAGTCAAAGCACAACGCGAAAAAAAAACATAGTTCGGCTCGTCATTCTGTATTTGAATCACTTATTTTAAAAAAAAACGCGCATGACTTCAGTTTTCAGTCGTCGCGCGCACGTGTGGAAAAAAAAACGATTGAAAACTGACCCCGACAGGACTGATTTATGATTTGTAAAAAAAAACAGTCCAGTCTACAAGAACATGCCAAAAACCATGATTTGAACAAGAAAAATGCCAAATGTAAGTGATTCAACATACGGATTGTAATAGTTAAAAAAAAAAACCAAAAAAAAAATGATTTTTACCTTCAAAATTCCCAAAACAAAAAAAAAGCCTAAAGAGAAATATAAAACGGATTTCCGTGTTTGATATTAAAAAAAAAACACGCTTTTTGGCCAACAGCGCGTGTTCTATACCAATTATAAAAAAAAAGTCTACATCAATTTACTAGGAGTGGTTTCCATAAATCCGTGAAAAAAAAAGTAATAGAGTGAACGCACTTAAAGCGTGCAACTGTACAAAAAAAAAAAAATATTAATTTGTATCAATTCAATTTAATTTGCGTACCACATGAAAAAAAAACTAAATATAACTATTTAGTTTGTACAGTTGCAAGGATAAAGAAAAAAAAATTTAGTCAAAGTAAAATGTGAAGCACCAAAAAGTCAAAGAAAAAAAAAAAAAATAAAGAGTATTATAAAATTTTTGATATATAACGCGCGCAAAAAAAAACTGACGACCGTGTTTATATCASAGGACAGAGACACGCGCGCAAAAAAAAATTTCTTAAATAAAGTGTAAAGTACGCTAACGTTTATTTCATAAAAAAAAAATGAAAACTGCTCTATTACAGGAACCCATATTTATCGTGTTAAAAAAAAACCACAGCAAAGACAAAGGCAAACCAGAGAGACCACGCTGGCAAAAAAAAAGAGATTCGTTATCATTTTGCGTTTTATTGATTTTTGTAAATAAAAAAAAAAATAATGCACAGCATTTCATGATCTGTAAAAGAAACAATGTAAAAAAAAATTTATTAGCTTGTTTTTCTAATGTATTGAAAAGATGTACAGAAAAAAAAAAAAAAGAAATATTTTAAAAAGTCTTGAAGTAGATGTAAACAAAAAAAAAATAGTCTTGTAGCGCAATGCAAACAATGCTAATGCTTTTGCTAAAAAAAAATTTTTGTTCATTATTTTTGGGAATTAGCTGGTTTTAGCTTTAAAAAAAAACTCGATTCAGCCATTGCAGTATTTCATTAATGTACTGCTCTAAAAAAAAAGATAATGTTTCACTGGTTTTCAGTTCTTCAAGTGCATGGAGAAAAAAAAATTGATGAAATCTTGCTCCTAGAGATGAAAAGATTTAATCAAAAAAAAAAAAAAACTTCTTCCATTTTTTGGGTTAAACTTGACTCATCCTCAAAAAAAAAAAGGAAGAAACAAGCTACTATAGATTTCCCCTGGGTTCCTGAAAAAAAAATTGCTCTACTCAACTACACTTGCTTTTAATGGCAATTATTCTAGAGGGTTGTCAAAGCTGTTTCTCACAGTCTGCTTCTACAGTCTGTTAGAAAAAAAAACATTTGTTAGCAGTTTTGTCATTTGAGAGTAAAACAGAAACAAAAAAAAAGTGAACCTTACAATCTCTAGCTATCATTAAGAAACATTTGCAAAAAAAAACATTTTCGAACTTTGAAATCTTTCCCCCTGTCTCCCCCAGAAAAAAAAAACTTTGGAACTATAATGTGAGCAAAGTCCTTTTTTTCTGGGGAAAAAAAAATGAATGGTGTTTGTGTTGAAAAGTACTTTTTAATAAAGGTGAAAAAAAAATTGAAACAGTCTCAAGTGATTGACAGCTTGTTTCTGTATGGAAAAAAAAAATTATACCATGATAGCACTTGAATACCATTTTCTGAAAAGGAAAAAAAAATAGTATTAAACACAACATGTGTCATTGC